TGGCCTGAGGTAATCAAATTATTTTTGGAGAACATGAATTGGGCGGTACCTAGCGCACCTAGCCTAGATACTTGCAATTACTCTGCTTGACCCCGCCATCTGGTGGCTAGCGATCTAACCTTCTTTCAGGCTACGCGATAAACACCGGCTTCGAGTTTGTTCTTTCGAGAACGGCTTTTGGTTTCGCGGATTGAGTTTGTCCTTCTCCGTGATGTGCGGTTGACGAAGGAATTGTGACTCGAGGAACACCAAAGGTTAGACGCAAAGTGCGCGAAGTAACTGGGTGTCGGTTGTCTCCGTTTAACATCGCAGTGCTGTCAACGAGAAGACTGAGTAACTGCTTTCGAAACGCAAGTTTCTGTACCTGTGGGGGGAATCTGGCTTCGGAAATAAACACAGTTCGCGGAAAGCTCGTGTTACGCTTTTATTTGCTCTTCCTCTCGTCCCGTACAAGAGACGTAGCGTCCTCGTCAACCCTTATTGGGCTCGATTTGCTCGATTCGGGGCCGCCATATTGAGATGCAGGCGACGGAGGAACTAGTTGCTCCCCTGCATCAGGGACGAAGGTTTCTCCCTTTCTAAAGGAACATAGGTTACAAGACTGTTCCTCCGCTAAGGGAGGACTATCCATACCCTTTTTTCTAAGAGTGTACCTTCAACGACACCTGTCGCAGCTTCATTTACGTGATCCTTCTAGGGTCTGTAATTCCGAGAGTGAGGTGTAATTCCTTAAAGATTCAAATCCCGGTAATTGTGACGCGGTTTCTTTCGACGTCGAAGACCTTTTTTATTCTATCCCACATGAGGCACTTTTTGAGGCGGTTAGAGAAGCTTTTGAAGCGTTTGGTGTTTTAAAGTTTCAAAACGAGTGCGGCGTGTATGAGGAGGGGTTTTCAGAATTGTTACGCTTCTATCTGAGCTCCACCTATGTTGTTCATGAAGGAGTAAAGCTCATACAGAAGCAGGGTGTGTGCATTGGGACGAGCGTGGTGCCCGTGCTGAGCGACCTGTTTTTAGCGAAGTGTGACAGAGATATTGAAAGCCGGTTAGATAAAGAAGTTATTCACGCTTTTTTAGATATGTAGACGATTACCTGGTGTTTTTCGTTTGAAGAAGGGTTTTGAAAGGGAAGGCTTCATTTCTAAAATGTTAGGGGTGTTTAGGGACAGTGCATTAGGGCTCAGTTTCACCAGTGAAAGTCCCGCGGATGATAGCTTACAGTTTTTAGATCTTAAAATTTTATTTCAGAATTCAAATGTCTGGTGGTTTTATTGCCCTAGGGCTAAGAAGAGGGTGTTACCATTTGATTCTAATCACTCAAAAGTAATTAAGAGGGGCATTGCCTCTACATGCCTGAGGGCTGCCTTGACGAAGTCTTGCCCACATAAGATAGAAGGCAGCTTTAGTTTGCAGATATTGAAGCTAGAGGAATGAGGCTTTCCACCTACGCTTCTTGTTGGGGTGGCAGAGGGCCTGATAAAGAAACTATGGGGAAGATGTGCTGGTGTAGGAGAGAAGCCGAGGTGCAGGCCAGTTGTAATACCTTATGTTCATAAGGTGAGCCACAGTATAAAGAAAGTGGGGCAAAAACATGGGGTTCCCGTATTACTCTCAGCTCCTCAAAAACTGGGCAGATTGTGTGGAAAAGTGGGACGAGGGGAAACACGCGTCGGTGTCTGTCAAAAGAAGCATATGAACCGGTATGTGGAGTGTAGCGAGGGCGTGGTGTACAAGATTCATTTATAATGTGGCAAAGTGTACATAGGCCAATCGGGACGTTGTATAAACGATAGGCTCAGGGAGCATGCACTGTCAGTTAGATCGTCACCCTCGGGCAATCTGACTGTGCATTATGACAGATGTGGGTGTGTCCCGAAGTTTGACAACACCATTATCTTGGCCCGAAACCGGCACGAAATGACAAGGGAGATATTCGAAGCTTTTTTCATATCTGAGTGCGTTGAAGGAACCTGTGTCAGCGCTCCATCTATAGCCCTGTTTGGCGCTGAGGTGGCGTTTTTGAAATCTTTCTTAAAGTAGATAGAGAACAAAAGAACACTGATTGGGTGATGGCGCATTTTTGAAGTACATGTCGCGATTTCACGGTGTATATATATGTGTGTTTCCTGAAAATAAAATTCAGTTGCAAGTAGCGCTCTGTGTTGTCCGTTGTTTTTACTTGTCCGTTGTTTTTAGCGCTTTTACCCTCACAAACATGAATCACCAACTAGCCCAAGTGCATACGCTTTTACAGTGACGTAGCAAGGCTGGCGTGGTTATGAGCTTTGCCGTTGGTGGCTTTGTCAGGCGTTGTGGTAGTGTCAATAGCGTAAACGCGTTACAACCGAGTTATATTATAAGTTCCCGTGGGGTGAAGAGCGTGTGGCCGGCCCAAGGAGCACGTAGCTTCCACATCACTGTCAGCTTAGGGTTGAACGGGGTGGGAAAAGCATCTTTTGTCCCAATTTTGAGCGACGGGCTAATGTTCTAGGGGGAGAGTGGCTGTGTCCGGGTACACAAATGAGGGTCTGTCTTTTTTAACTGTTAGGCACAATGCGTGATTTGTGGGTTGAGGGGAAAAGTTATGTAGGAAAATGTTGAATTACAAAGGGCGGCGCTGCTCCGATAGAACTTTCTACGTCATGACTGCGTAGCATGTTCTCTAATTTTGCTAGATAACCTCCCAAATAGGCTCCGCATGCATCCACCAGGTGCACATTGAAATATCGTTTAATTAGGTCTAAAATTATTTTTGTTGTGCCTTTTATCAAGAGACTGGTATTTTTCAGGTTATGTTGCAACATGCATCGTATTAAAGCTAAAAAATGAGCGCTGGAATTTCGTTTCCGCACCCCTTTAAACGCCACTTTGTAACTAGATACTTTATCGTATAAAAACTGATATTTAAATGTTTATCAAAAAAAAAGTTACAATGAGACATTAATTGTCCAAAAACAAATTTAACAGACTAAATAAAAAAAAACACCAGGAAGAAACACGTAAGTTGCATTGCCAGCGACATAAACAAATATGGAAGCGCCCGTAAATGAGTTCTGATTCGCGTGCAGCGCCCTGCTGAGATCTCTTTAACGGTAATTCTGACGGTTGAACTTGGTTATTTACAAAATATTTGCTCCTCAAATTCTTTATAGATGTGTCTCCCAGCGCTTCGAGACAGTGAGTGCTTTGTTAGCGCTGACGGTCAGCGGTGATACTAGTCGGCCATGGCGCTGAGTCGCTAGTCACCCTCTAAACACCGGCTAAACAAGCCATAGGCCATGACTAAGATTTGCTAGTCGCATTCTGAGTCGCACGCGGCGACTAGGCACTAAACATGACCGGTGAATACCAAGCGCTCACTTAGCTGTGACTATTACTCGCCACGTGATAATTTTAGTCGATGACGTCACTAGTCACTGGTTAAACTGACACTACTCGCGACTGACGAATACGGGTGTATCTCTCGTCCGCAAAGTGTCTTAACTTATAATTCACGGAGCACTGAACAGAGGCACTGATAGTACTGCTGGCGACACAGAGCGGTGCTCACGTTCATGCTGATTGTGATAGTATTAGGCATTTTAGCAATGAGCTAACAGTTTGTTTGTGTTTACTTGGGGGCTTGCAATTAACGCTGTCATAATTACATTGTGATGTTTATAAGGAAATAAAAGAGCGCAGACGGCTCAGTTCCAATTCCCTTGTGTTCGCTTTGCAAGGGCGGCAGACGGAAGAAGTACTCGCATTTAGTAGTGACCTATAGTCGTTTTTAAGTCACGCTTGACCGCTCTAACACCGAAAACTTGCGTAGTTTTACAAGACCACTACATAATTCACGGGGAGCGCGCTGCCATGTAACCCACGATTAATCAGTATTTTTGCCGCATTGAGCAGTACCGCGCGGGGAACAGAAAAAACCGGTAAACAAAGCCTCTGAGGCACCGAACTCATAATTGCCTCTGAAGGCAGTCAAGATTAATTTCTTTGACTTAGGGACGAAGCCAAAGGGTGTGAAGGTAGGCATTGTATGCGCTGAAATTTGAGCGAAAGCATCGTCCTTCACATTCGTGAGGAGATGTTTGGGTGGCGCCTTGTTGAGATTCCTACCAGTGACGTCAAGACCGGTTCCAAACAAAACATTTGATGATGTATGGCAGAATGAAAGGCACCATATCCTTATTGTAGACGTACAGTTAGCATCTGGCTAATCTTGAAAAGGACGAACGGCAACTCCTTTTACTGGGTGCATGTTTCCACTCCGCGACAATCTGTCTTGGCAATGCAGTGGAAGGTACAGGCTCGCATTGCCGCTTCCATTTTGAGCGCAGAATAACGCTGTGCGCGGGCTCTCCTTCTCTCCCCGGAAATGGCAAAAAAAGTTGTCGCGCAGTGTAGGGCTTTCCCGAAAATCCCACAATGCCTTTCTACAACCGCAGATTGGAGCACATGGCGCAGTGAATTGTGCGGCCGTTCCAATGTACTCTCGAATAAGCTCGCAGGCTCCGTAAATTCTGGAAGTCGCTGGTTTCATTATCTCTGCTCACTGCGAGTTCAGGACTCGAAGAAAACAAAGCGAGCAGATCACAGACACGATAATGCCCTGCTTTGTTATCGAACCGCAATTTTGGCGTTTTGAAATCGCAAATAATAAGCAACATTATTCGCTGGGTTTATTTATCACTTTACCCCTTCAAGGACCGTGCATAGGATTGCAGTACTGTGTCAGAAAGGCGCTCAGAGGTACTGCGGATTTTCGGAATGCGCTATTGTGATGCATTCCTAACATGCCACATTTTCCCGGTGTAAATATATCCGGCTTCATGATACGGATTTAATTTTCTAATCATTTTTAGCAGCTAGAACCGAGAATTTGTCTAGGTAACCTTAAAATATAAAACACGCATTTATATTGCATTCTTATTATTTGTTATATTTCAGATCCGAATACGAGCAATGTATTGCCCGGCGTTTTCCCACAAAGAAGGAAGGCTGTGCGTTACCTTGAAAAGAATATTGTAGTTCTGGACGGTACTCCTTTGGGTTAGATTTTCGTGCACTTGAAATTTAAGCAGTCCGTAATGCCGGATGTTCATTTTCCAGAAGTCTGAAAATGTTCTCATACCATCGGCTTTGTTGAGGTCCTCGTATGCTCTAAGGGCATTGCTGGGAGAAATTGCACATATGCATAAGCTCTCGTTGAATAACACTCGAATCAATTGCCACTTCCTTGGATGCTTCATTGTCATATTTATTTATTTATTTGTTTCTTTTTCACAATATGTAGTAGTGCGGCACCACAGGCCTCAGGTATGGGCCAATGGCCTTTCTGTGGTGCCGCAACCCTCCAGGGTTGAATAAAGATATTATTATTATTATTAGTATTATTATTGGATCTATCTTGTCTCCGTTACTTTTTAATGTCTTTGTCAATGAAATGTCAAATTCAATAGTTAGCTGCAAACTATATCAGTATGCTGACGATACTGTACTCTTGTCACGCCATATAGAATACGAAAAATCAATTTTTATTCTCCAACGTGAAACCGCACATTTGATTGAATGGTTTCAGCAAAATGACTTAAAAATTAACAACACAAAGACACGTCTGGTGTGTTTCCGAAATCCGTTAAAAGTTGTTATCCCAGATACGCCACTATTTTTACATTCATCAATTTGTCCTTCGTGTAAATGCACTCCAGTGGGTTATGTGGACCATGTGAAATATTTAGGCATTGAATTCGATAGTGACCTTTCATGGAATACGCACATGGGAACTGTATGTAAAAAGCTTAGACGTGTTTCCTGTCTACTTTATAATATGAGATCACTTGTTCCACAATATGTTAAAAAGATGGTCATCAATGCTTTGGCATACAGTGTTCTTCGCTATGGAATAACCATTTATGGTGGCTGTTCTACGTGATGGCAAAAGAAAATTGACAATATTTCGACTGGAATGTTTAGAAGTATCACAGACGGCACTGATACCGAAACAGAACAAGAAAAAATTGATCATATTAATCTTCCATTATGTCATGCTTTGTTTACTGAGACGGTTGTTTTAAGACACTTTTGGGATGACAAATTTAAAGTTCCCCACATTGCACCTCGGGCACTCAGACATACCACTCGTTTTGAGGTGCCGAGAATGTCAACCAGGTATGGCAGAAGACAACGAATATTTTATGTACCGGACATTTTCAACAGTCTTCCTGAAAGAGTGTTGGACCTGGATTTGAAAAAAAAAGTTGAAACAAGCCCTACGAGACCTATTTTAAATCAAGTGTGCCTGCACGAACCAGATTCATCTTCTGGGCGTCTTAAACTGTGCTCTAAAGATTTTTTTTTCTTAGGCCAGTGATGTGATCTTTATTACAACCCAAGTACTGTGGCAACTTGACATGACCTGTGCTTCATTTTTTTTAATATTTTGATGTATGTGTGTGTGTTCTTCATGTAATGTGACTATCCACATATCAACAACTCTGGACACTAACTTTACCAATGCTTCAATGTTATTTTTCTTAAAACGTGTGTGCGTGTGTGTGTGTGTGTGTATGTGTGTGTGTGTGTTTTATGTGCTGATGCACTCTTCACAATGTTGAAATTAATTGATATATAACTTTAATTCTGGTGGTTTAGCCAAACAAGCCAATTCAGGCTTCGGCAGACCCGAATCATACTTCGTCGCATCCGAAAAAAATAAACTATTATTATTATTATTATTATTATTATTATTATTCAAGAGCACCATTCTCATTTAACAAAAAATACGGATGGAAGTCATTAAAATATATACCGCCTAACTAAAGCGGTAATATCTGCAGTATATCCGCAGAACCAGCCTCAAGCAAAGCAACTCGTGCACTCGTTTACAAGTTATCTAAAGACATCAATCCATTCGGTAGATAGGAATGTTTCAGCGAAGGGTTTAAGGTATCTCTTATAAATGAATGGTTCAGAGGGAACAAATTAAGCTCTTTTCTTGTGGACGCGAAGGAATTAAAAAATACTAATTAATAAATACTATAATTATTTGTAATAACCTGATTTAATTAGTGAAAATAAACATGGTTTTCGAGAAAATCTCGATAAGAATAATCGAAGACCACTAAATCAACTTATTTTGAAGAGATGTAGAAGCCAGATGTAACATTTTACGACGTCCAAAAAAAAAAAACGCTCAATTTGGACGGGTTTTTAGGATTCGATTTTCTACTGGAGCGTATCTTTATGCCCGCAGTCATGACCCCCAGCGGCCGAGATGTGCAACGCCACGTGCGCCATACTTCCCTCCGTCTTACAAGTGAGGCGAGGCGGTGGCTTTGCGCCTCGGCCGTCAGGGGGCAGGACTGCGGGCGCAAAGATGCGCCCTGGTAAGGAGTGGAAACCTAAAAACGCGTCCCAAGGGGTTTTCTTTGGGGAACGCTATAAAACGTTGTACTTGCCTTAATATTTCTGAAATGAGCTGATTGAGGAGTATTCGATGATGCTTCACAACTTCTTATTAAAACAAGATGTTTATTTTTGCTCATTAAAATTTTAAACATAACATGACTAGCTAATTCAAGTGTTTTTATAATCTTTGATGTCTGTCGCGGCTGGCAGATTCTTCCGAAAAGAGTTTCTTTTTTTGCTCAATCACCCTAGTTTAGTGATTTTTGAAAACCTTCACTGAAACACCCGCTGTAAGACCTTTAAGTAAAATAGATATATTTTGTTTTATATTTTTGCGCTCTTTAAGAAGCCGGTTCGGGTTTTAACGTCGGATTTCAAATAAAATTTAGAGATTGATTTGCAACTTCAAAATGCGCTCGTGCATTATTTGTGCACGACGCGAATATTTTATTTATTAGCTTAAAAGGCAGTGAAGACCCCATGAGTGAAATTGTCCGTCGCAAACGGTTCGGGAGCACATGGCTAAAGGCCGAACCTCACTAGCGTCGGGGAGGCTTTCCGCACGCCGCTGGCCACCGCGGGCTGACGGCCAAAACTAGTTTTCGCCCTCAGCGGATCGCCGCTCGGCGCAGTCAAGGCAACCTGCCCGTGCACGCTTGAGGGCTCGCCGCTTCTTCCCGCAGGAGAAAGAAGCCAATGGGCGGTGGCGTAGAGAGTGAGGTTGCGATGCCATGGCAAAGTGCAAGCCGCCTTTCCGCGCGGCTTTTACGTTGCGATGGAGCGTAGCGTTGTTTCGCTTCGTCTGCTATCCCCACTCCCCCCCCCCCCCCCCCAATGTTTTTCAAAACGGAGCTGTTCCTCGCAACACTGCCACTGTTTTCCTTTTTAGAGCGCAGCTCTTAGGCGCCCGTTTCCGGCCTCAGCGGCGTCGCCGTCGGTGTCGGTGTAACCGCGTGGTGCATGATGGGTAAATTTCCCCGCTAAATTTACCGAAAAAGTTCCCCGCTAAAGTTAGCGGAAAACATTGGACGCTGAATTTTGCGGGAAACTTTCCCCGCTAAATTTAGCGGAAAAAAATCTCCCGCTAAATATCCCCTAAATGGGAGGCGAGCAGGAGAGGAATAGGGGCATAGCCACCCTCCGCACCTTCCCCTCCTCCTCCTTACTAGTTGCGCTCTAATTCGGCGTTTCAAGGGACTGTAAAGGCCTTTCGTTTTGTTATGACAATTTATACGCCGCCAGACTACATAGATAAGGACGCTAAGAACAACCGCTGGGAAATTATCGAAGATGAATTCGGAATAACAGGTGAGTTTCTTCGTGGCACTCGTCGCATATCGCCCGCGTTGTGACGGTTGTCGTATTGCCTCGGTGACACTCTTGAAAGTAGCCTTCCTCTCTGGCGTGCAGCCGAGGCAGCACTGATCTGACTCTCGGTGGTTCGGTAGCACTAACCCGACCGGACCCGAAACCTGCGGCTCCTTCCCTTCAGAGCGCGGCGCAGCCGCAAGATCAACGAGCAGGCTATACTTCGTTTCAGCTTAGGTCCGAGCGCAGCCAGTGTTATGAGCCGAAGGCCAATCAAACAGCGAAAAAGGCACAACGTCATGGCGTGCTTTCTGCAGTTGATAGGATCAGTCGGTTTTCGCCGTCTCTCTGTGCGTGCTCCTCCGCCGGCTAGTCCTATCAAGCGCAGAGAGCACGCCATGACGTTGCGCTTTTCGCGCTGTTTGATTGGCCCTTCGGCTCATAACATCGACCGCGCTCGGACATAAGGTGAAACGAAGTATACAATGATCACATTCACGTTAATCACCAGATGATCATGGACACCGACCCTGTAGGCAGCGAGTACGTTCTGGATGCTGATATATGCGAAAGATAAGAGCCGAAAAAAGAATCTGACAAAGAGCAGACGAAGAAAGAGCGGGAAACCCGGCGGAGGCTCGCCCGCGTCCTCGAGAACAAGGGAGTCATGGCTCGTTCACACTTGCGAAATACGCACTCACCGCCGACTGAATTCGCTCGCCAAAAAAAGATCGGGTCGTTCACATTTGTTGCCGCCTGCGGAGTGCGGCAACGTCAGCAGGGATCTGACGTCACCAAGCGCCACTTCCCCCGTGCGTTCTGATTGGCTTGCGGCGAGCGAAAACTTCTTTCCGGCGTTGAAATTTAGTCCCATAGCGATCTTGCTCTCCGCCGGAAATTCTCCCTGCTTTCGTCGCCGGGCGTCGGAATTCTCGCGGATCCGGCCGCCGGTCCCCAAGTGTGAACGCGGGAGTCAGTGCTGTCACCTGACTATAACGCTCGTAAAACCGAGGCCAGATGCCGGACGGCGGCGCCGTTGCCGCTAGTGTGGTCAGGCCTTTAACCGTTTTTTAGACCGACAGGGTCCGCGCGGAGGGAGGATATGCCAGCGTTTGCGATCAAGTTCAGTGGTTTCCAGCCTTTACAGCACAGCAGACGAATTTAGCGTTTTCCACACTGGACACAAAAGCGTTTAACGACCAACTATCGTGAAAAACAAACTTATCCGCAGCCAAACCGAAATTAGTTGCACCCTCAAAGCATAGTTTTCTTCTTCCGCCGCGGAGCTAGCGTCAACACGCCGCATCGAAAGAGCCGGGCGCTTTTGTACCCTGATGCCTATGCCGAGGAGACACCCCCGGGATTCATCTCTCGTGTGAATACTCCTCTCAACGCCGGATTAGTGTCACAAGCCGGTGAAGCCTGAGAGGTTTATAAGGCTGTCAGTTGGGAAAGTTATTGCCCATGGAATTTCTTCGTTCTCTCTGTACTATTTATTGTATTCCTTGGTCTCAAAAAGAAAGCCGAGACTTTGACCATTTTAAACACCAGCATTTCGAGAAACTAAAATCTGAATTGGAGTGTAGGTTTGTGATGATCCATAAAGAAACACTGCGCGCGTTGCATTATGGCATGTTACAGGTCACGGCTTCATGAAATGCGGCTTCACGAAATACGGAGAACCTATCCAAAGAACGTTTCACGTTAGAAAAATAGTTCCATGGTCCTTTGGTGTGCAATTTCATTGACGACGAGACATTTCAAAACACATCGTCTCAACGTGGACTCACACACTGATTTTCATTCTTCTTAGAAACAACGAGTTAAACCTCTGCTGGCTAGAAACCTATACCCACGAATATCCCTGGTATGCACGTCAAGCCAGAATAGTACCGGTGGTCAATTCCTATTCCGAATTGGGTGGTTCCGCTGTAGTTCCGGGCGAAGTCACGAAACCACTTCAACCCTTCCGAGCTGCTGTCGAGAAAGGTGCCCCTCCCAGATCTGTAGAAGTAGTCCAAGAAAATGATGTCGCAGAGGCCTTCCTCGGGCCACGCTGCAGACATGTTGAATAGAGCCCCGAAGGTACATAAAATCGTGTTATTCGGCAGCGTCCCTGCAAGAGAAAATGCTGCATTACGAACCAAAGTGAATGAGCGGGTCACTTTTTAAACTAGGACCCCGCTAACGGGGCCCTAATTGTGCAGTCCTATCCTGAAGGAAAAATCCATCAATGTAACCCTGTTTGGCAGTCAATGTTTTCTAGTGGACCGCTGACTGTGCCTGACTGTACGCCAAGCATGTTTGATTGGCCAACAAGTTACACTGACCGACAGTCAAACTCCACTTCTCGGCTTTCTGATGGTTTCCTGGTGGCAGTCGGCCGCCGCGAAATGCCATCAGGATGTCTTGGTGGCGATTCTGATTGTACATCGATTGTCTCTGACTGTACGTCAAAAAGCTTTGACGTGCAGACAGACGTACGGTCAAAGGACGTAAAGTTCGTTCGGATACCACTATTTCGTCAATTCTATGAATACCAAAAATAATCTATGCACAAGAAAACGATTTCAGGACGTGAACCCATAAAACCGCTAATGTTAGAGATATGACACGCAGCCGACCGACAACCTTGATCAGAAGCCCACCGAAACGCCGAACACGCCAGTTTCGCTTCGCCCATAGAGGCTTCGCCGAGCTTCCATGAACGATCGCTCTCGACTCGTTTTGTTTGCCCGCTTGCTCCAAACCTGTCGATCCTGCCCGGGCTCTACAATGTCTTATGTTCTAGTGGAATTTCTACTCTTGACTTAAACAGCGCAAATAAGTTACGTAAGGAAGAGACAACAGGGTAGCTAAACTCGTGGAGCAAAACATTCTTTGCTATTTGACGTAGCGGGGGGAGTGACCAAAAGAACGCCGCAAAGTTTCCTCCTCCCTGCGCGCGCTCAACTTCGCAACTTTTGACGAAAAATCCCCCGCGATCCCTAGGCGGTGCACGAGAGCACGAGACAGCGCGGGGAGGCCAGCGTTCACGCCGCTCGCTGTACGTCGTCTTTGGGCTCTCTAGCGCCGACAATCCCGTCATGCCTCGCCCAGGCGAGGAGCGAGAGCAGACGACGAGAGTTCGTCTGCTACGATGAGGCATTCGCACAGCGGAACTGAAAGAAAAAGTTGGTTTTCTGCTCGAAATCGCGTCCTGCGGGCCACAAACTCAAACGCGAGCTTGATATGTAAGCGTCTGATATTTCACGAAGGGAGGAATCGACGGCCCGTCTCTTATTTGCGAAATTTGAGTCGTTTTGCAGCCGTACAGACGCTGAAACCTACCAGTGTGTAATGAAAGGCCCAGGACAACCACAGGCTTAGTAAACAGGATAACTGGGCGAGTTGGTATGGATTCATAATGGAACAGCGCGAATTATTGCAAGGACAGGAGAAGGAACTGGACAGGACGAGCGCTGTCCGAACAGCGCTCGTCCTGTCCAGCGCTCGTCCTGTCCAGTTCCTTCTCCTGTCCTTGCAATAATTCGCGCTGTTCCATTATGACAACCACAGGGGCCGCGAGATCTAGCATCATTTGTGTATGGGTGAAAAGTGCAACATTTTTCGACAAAGCTCCCACAGCAGAAACCTGCGACGCATTCACTCAGCGGCCGGGAAGGCTAAACATGGAGACGTTGCCCGAGACTCAAGCAAAGTCATATTTGAACGGCAGCTATCTCGCCCCGTCATATTTTGTTTTGAGAAAGCTCTCGTTCTCAATGCCAGGGAAATAAGAAGTATTACGAAACGTATTGCTAGCTGTTCCAAAGAACTAGATTTAAGCCGTATCCTTTCAGTGGTTCACTCATAATATTATGCTTAAAACGAAGCAAGCTCTTGCGCCTATAGTGCCATCAATTTCCTCAAGCGTATGCTGTTTTGTAGTCAACTAGTTTCGGAAACTTACGCCGTCTGTAGATATCTCTGACAGCCGAGTTGCTTAAGTGGAAGTCATCGCAAATGTAAGTTCCACGTTGCAGCAACCAACTTTTAAACGATGGCAGCGACTGCAATCTCGCATTCCCACCCATCACGTCGAACAAAAAGGCGCTAGTTTCGGTTTGAGGTCGGTACTTCTCTACAACATCTATGGCGACAGCATCAGTCTGCACTGGGTGCATTCGGCAAGTTCGTTCGGGGCCTGTTCTCCGTGCAGCACTCGGGGGGTGTAATGCATTAGAACTCTCACAGTGCAAGTCTGTATCGCGAATTGGGAGCCCGTCAGTGGCCTCACCGGCGGCCATTGCTTGACGACAGGCAATACGCCGCGTCCTGTCTAGTTCTCCCTTCGTTTTCGTCCTTGTTGCTGTGGCCTTCTACATCATGAGGCAATACACGCAAGTCTAAGGAAGAAACATGCAAAAATTGGAAGCTTGTACGCGGTGCTCGAGGGCGAGCATTTTATGACGTGCTGCGATGATTATGTCGGGTTCTTGGAGATCAAATAGACATTCGTCAAGCGTTTAAACATCGATTAAAAAAAATTGGCCGGAGCACGATTGACTTTACCGACGTCGCTTGCTTCGGTTGCTAAATAAGTGGCACGTCGAGCGACTGAACGGCACGCTCCGAGTTTCAGTTTGTCACGGAAGCCCTCACAGGAGTTCAAAGAAAAAGCTTTCACCATGAAGCACTATGTACAAGCGGTCAAAACGATGCGAAAATCCCCAGTAAAGGCATTCTATCTTATCGTTTGCTAAGCTTTGATGACTCCGAAATCACGGATGACTCCACAATAACTCTCGGTAGCCCTTGTCTCATTAAACACATAACAGTTAACGCCCAACAAAGTAGCCCTAGACCCTCAACCACACAACATTTAGTTAAACAAGATTGGTATTCTAACGCGTTTAATATTCTTGCCCACAATATTAACTGTTATTTGCGGAAACATGACAGAAGTTTCATGGTAGAGAACAACCTACTAACGTAATAAAATTGAGTTGTGTCAAGCGATGACTGCCGGTGGTGCCGCTCGACCCCAGCAATACAGGCCTCTATCCACGATCTAGCCTCCTAAGAAATCAGTGGTGCCAGTGCTATTAGACATAAATCGTTTATTTGCATCGGTACTCCCATACCTGCCGGATGTAGGGACGAGGCGCAAAACCGTACATCCGGCCAATATTGAAGCCCGTTTTCGGACGATATTGTCTCGACACTCGCCAAGAAGCAACGTGCTGTTTCGGCGACTCGTTTGTGTAATTTATTTGTTCAGTCATATTCATGGGTCCCGGGCCACTGTGTACACCCCAAAAAAGAAATGTACTGTGGTAATTACACCTTGAGGAGAAGCAGGCATGTAGCCAGATTTTCGTTTAAGGGGGGGGGGGGGGGGGGGGGCGCCGATGACAAAGTGCTCTATAAGGGGGAGGGAGGAGAGGAGGCCCCAGCAAAATGGAAAATTTCGGGGGGGCAGGAAGGCCAGGCCTTATGCCCCCCCGCCCCCCCCCCCTCCCCTTGGCTACGTGCCTGACGAGAAGGGGTATTGTAGTTTTACATCTTTATAAAAAGGTGTAGGCATTATCATACGTTTTAAGAAACGTGTTTAAAAAATCACACATTTTTAAAGCTGTGAAGTTTACATTTCTTTTATAAGGTCCATCGCTACACTTATTAGGGTGTTACTTATGGGACACCCCACTTACATGTTTAAAGGTGGGAAAATGCTTAATGTGCATATACCTCTAACGGAAGACAATCTCTTTCATGTGATTACATCGCGTGCCGATGAAACGATCTGTCGATGACACGTCGTTCGATGAACTGATTTGACCGCCAATGAGTGACGACTGCCAGTAGAATTTCGGGGAAATAATTCTGCCGGTTGCCGGGAGACTCGAACCTACCCTAAAATTACCCCGGTTCTTGTTTGTTTCCCAACATTCTGAATCGTATTCCAGCTTATTAGTACCTCTTCGGTTATTACAGAAAAAAAAAAGCGATGGCAGCCGCAAAAACTCTGACAGCACGGCCACAGTCATGTGGGAGACTGACAGGTGCTCGTCAGCCGCCACCATGCCTTGAAAGCTACCGGTTCCGAAGAACCGGAAGGCGCAGAGAACTTGTTGTTCCACGGTCCGAGGCGGCGAACGAAGCTCGTCGCAGAGTCAACGCACAACGGCTTTCGATAGCCAGTACTGTCGCCGAAAGTCGTCGTCGGGGAGTTGAAAGGCGTCCCCGGTGGTCTCAGTAGCGACGCCGACGGTGGCGGAAGATAAGCTCGGCCGCAGCGTACGGCACCGCCATGTTGACAAAGTTTAACTTCGCCTCGATCCGAAGCGAAGATCTCGAGCTCAAACCACGGCTCTCGCAAAGTTCGGAAACGTCACTTTGACGCCAGCGACAACTTCGACAAACGAGGTTTCTTTTTTACACAAACTTCGGAGGGATTTTGAGCGTCAGCAGGTCGCCTGGGGACAATCTGCAAAGCATTAATTTTAGCTTGGCGTAGGGATGTAGGGACAAATGGGCGCTACGTCATCGGCGAAGCCGTTCAATCAGCGGGCTCCTCGCGCCCCTCACGCGCCGCACGCGCTCCTCGATGAACTTTGCTTCGAATGATTGACACCTCGCTCGGCGCGACGTCAGCGTCGCGAGAGTCCAATTAGCGCGTTCCGCAACTTTCGGACACAAAGTTGTGCTTGACGAGTTTAGCGACCCAGGAAGGAAAGAGCGCTTTTTCCCTCCTGTTGCCTCTTCCTTACGTAACTTATTTGCGCTGTTTAAGTCAAGATGTCTATCCAACTCGCCCAGCAACTCATTTTGGTAGAATTTCTACTCGACAAGACCCAGCCTGTTGTGAGTTTCGACGATGTAAGGGACTTTAACGGTGTAGTTGACGACGAGAAGGTGTACCAGGTCTACTGCGCCGGAGACGCGCGAACAGAAGGATCGTTCTACGACGCGAAAGTACTCTTCATGGCAGGTGAGTAGAACTGAAGTACGGCGAGTGATGTACGAGTGCTTTGCATAACATGCTGAAGACTTAACTGCATTTGAATCCGAAGCATCTCGTATAAAACGAATGGTAAAATCGAGTTTCCAATGCGATGGCATAGCATAGGGGTT